ATTATTTTTGTAATGGTCACTGATAACATTTAACACGTTGACACTTCATTGCTTGCTTCATTTTATTTTGATTATTTTTGTATCTCTTTTGGTTGAATCTTCTTCTTTCGAGTGTTTGATCTTGCAAACAAAATTGTTAAAAATCAAACATTCAGGGCGAAAATGGAGGAGTGGGAACACTTGATATGAGTCAAATAAATGTCGCATCTCAAAGTATCCTCGATGGAAGCAACAATAACTCATCAAGCGCAGAGAATTGTTTCGCAGGTTAAATTTTGATCATTCTATTTAGTGTATTTTGTTCCACTGGGTTTGGGAGAAGTGAACAGTTCACAAAGCAAAACAACACAAAAGTCTCATTTCCACAGCCATTTGGAACATTTTGTTTGTTCCATTTGCAAGGTTTTAATTGTTTAATTTTTCTCTTCGTCAGGTCTTTTTCATTCTCTCGCAAACTTCAATCTATCTCCGTAGTAATTTGTCGTTTTATTCGACATTGAATGTGTTGCAAAGAATAATTTGTTGACTGACTCTTCGCGCTGTTGAACTGAAACGCCTCCATATAAACAGTAATTAAAATCTGTTATTTTTTACATAATGCTTATTGTCACTACCGGCGTTATCTTCATTATCGTTTTCGAAATTAGACAATACGTCAAAAGTATCACTGACATCAATATATTGTAATTCTTCCGATTTTCATCCATCGCTGCTATGATTATGAGTAAGAGATGGATATAAACTAAAATTATCATCAACAATCAGAGGATATGACACCAGTTTAGTGGCCACTAAATAAGCAATAGCCATCCATTCAACTACTCAAAGTGCAATGAAACAAAGAGAACAACTCAGCGAAGGGTGCAAATAAGAAAGAGTATGTAGAGTCCACGAAATTCTCCAGCAATAAGCAGATTCCAGAGTTGCATCATCGCTNGAATGTGAAGGGAGAATAAGAACCAAATTTTGAGTGGCTGTTACGTTTGCATATGTTCATGTATTGATAACTTTTGATGAGAAATAGTTATTGTTATCATTATGGTTGCCATTATGATTAGTCTTAGAATGGGCAATGTATGCAGTAAACGATATATGAATTCACTTGTTTATCATTATTGCTTCATACCTTTTCATCCACTTCTTACGTTATTTTTTCGTGCATTATCACCGTCATTGTGGTCATTATTATATCCTGATTGTAGTGACTGACACATTTCTGGATGCTTGCAAACGAACGAATGCGAAAATTTTAATCGATTTTCTTGATGCATTCAAAAGCTGCGATGTTTGGTTATGTCGTTTTAATGTTGTGCGGCGGCTGTCGCTAAAGTAGTTAAGCCATGAGCAGATAGTAGCAGCTGTAAGGACGCCGTAGAAATGATTGTTCTCATTAAGAACACTTAAGAATCTGCAGATAGACCATAGGCTGGAGCCAGCAGATGCAACCTCAGTTGAGGTTGGTTGCACTGAACGACAGGAAGTGGAAGATGAGCTGGATTTCAAGCAGAACACTAACAATGAAGATGTAAAAATTGTGTAGATGCTGCTGCCATATTTCATCAGTCGTCGCAACTCCCCCTTTCCCACTAAACAACTGAGCACCCCTTACCCCTGTCTCGTCATCGCATTCAGCACCATTTCTCTATCATCTCATCCAATCGGCGCATATTCTCGTCTTGGACCAACCCTCTTTTCTCTCCATATCTCCCCTCTACACACCCAGCACCCTATTCCTTCGTTCGTAATCACCCCTATACCTATCTACCTACCTCCTTGTCTTTCCGTACCCCCTATCTTCATCAACATACCATCATCATTATTCAATAAAACCAAAAGTGTACCCCACACATCAATAAAACACACAACATCACCACGCAAATATTATACTTCGTTCTATTATTATTCAAGCGCATTGGTGCAGTGTATCCCTTTCATAGGGGTGTATCATCTCTTATCATCCATCTTTCCACCCTTTCTCCGTTGTATTAAATCAGATTTACCTCCAGTCATCATCTTCAGTGATATTCTTATTCTTTTTTTAAAAATATTATCCTCATTACTGCTGCCACTCACTTGATCGTTCGATTATTCAATCATCNCGTATCCTCGAATATAAGGTTTATTCAGTCATTTCATTTGGCGATCTAAAGAACGAATCGCATTCGTTACTTTGCTAATATTATACTGTTATTGATGCAGATATCATTGAACCTCGGAAGAATTAATTGATGAATCAAGAACAAAAACTCGTCTTCACCGTTTCGTACTGATGTTTATAATTGAATGATCAAAAATTTTTTCTCACAAATCAGCGGGAGGTGTTGAGCAAATAAAGCAGATCAAGGGTACCAATCAATCAAAATGCAAAGAAACGGTGGTATCGAAGAAAATGAAGTTGAAAGTTCAACCAATCAAAGCCAGCAGCAAGTCGAACAACGCCATGAAAGTGACCTCACCACCACCACCATTTTGAGCCCAACTCAGAATCCAAAAATCAAGTCCGAGATTATTGATCAACGTCAAAATTCACCAGAGATTAGCAGCAGTAGCAGCTCATCGTATCAACTCTATCCATCATCATCTACATCGCTTTATCCACATAATGAGCATTCTCATCCCATATATCCACCATCCTCAACTTATTCGTCAGCTTCTCAAAATCGTCATTTTCATCATGACCAAACAACTGGCAGTATTCCTTTATCGTCGAATCATACTTCCGATGCAAATTCATCAACTCTAAGCTGTGGCAATGTTGTGAACGTAGCTGCTGTTTCATGTTCAGTAGCAACAACAACCACAACAACTACAACGTTAACATTCACACAATCTCAGGCGTCATTCGTGGCAGCTCTGCAAGCCGCAACCACAACGGTGCCTTTCCATAACCCTAATCCAACGAATCCTACAAATCTTAATCCAAATCCCACAAATTCGTTCAATCCGAACCTCGCATTCGGATCTTCATATCCACAATCTTTATCCCATCTATCGTCATCCACTGGTCCAGCTCAGATGCTTCTCAGTAGTACAACAAATTTCTGCGCCGCTTCACCTAATAGCCGAAGCTATCCGCCAGCGACGTCATTTACAAACACTTATCTTCATCCTGAAACAGCGGAACGGTCAACTGGTCCCACAGGTACGCTTGGAGCCCCGTACACGCATGCGCAGACAGTGATCGGGATGGACACAAATCTGAACGCCGTTATGCCTTCAGCTAGCTTCAGCACTCAACTAGGAACTAATCGAGATGGATACAATGGATCCGGACCCATGGATTACGCGAATGAAACGACAAAGTTGCACGATTATCCGAGCACAGACCCGCGAATCGGTGTATCGCCTTTATCTGTTTATTCGAATTCTGCTGAGCAGTTTCGTGAGCAAAATAGAATGCTCTCATTTATGGATGCAAAACGTCAACGATATTCATCTGTAATGTCAGATGGCCGTAACTCATCACCACCCCCAACAACAACCAATGAACTCGGCACCGATCTTCCACGATCGCATTCAGTTGCTGCCCCTTCCACCTCGCAATCACCCAGCAATCAGATTCCCTCACAATCTCCCCAGCCATCTACCGCAACATATCAGACAACCGTCATGAACACTAACCAAGAAAAAGAGCCAACTTACCGCAGCGATGCGAATCTATCAGAAGATCGTCGTAAATATTCATCTGATCAACGCCAAAGCTCTGTTTCCAGCAATCCTACCCAAACAGCAAATGAACCATCACAGCGAATTGCAACCTCTTTAGTAACTTCATCATCGATGGCTTCATCTGAATTTGCTTCTTCCAGCACCACACAATTTAAGGATTCCATAAATACAACACTAGTGCGTCAACCACTTCAATATGTTGCATATTTCCCCGCAAACGTTTCTCTTCCTGTTCCGGAGCCATTTACGGCTGTTATGCAACATAGTTCTGGGACGTTTTTGCCGTCAGCGCCCAATTTATCGTCCAGGGCATCGGTTCATTCCACCAATAGAGTGTTTGAGCCGTCGACTTCGTTTGTATCATCCAATCTCGAACAGATCCTCGTTGCCACAAGTGGTGCCGAGAAAATTACAAATTCTGATTCCAACGATATGTCTCCGACGTCATCCACTCTTTCGCGAGCTCTATTGAATAGAGCGAAAATGGAACAGTTGAGAGCATTCGATAATGAACAGAACGGTGATAAAATATCACTAACTGAATTGTCTACGAGTCAATCATCTGCAGGAATATCATCAAGCTTTAGTAACGGGAAACGCGACTCTAACATCATCACACAGTCAGAAGCGGACGCAATGGATGTGAGTACGTTGAATGAGATGTTGGGTGTTGTAGCACCAAAAAATCGTGGCAATAGTCATTTGAAACGGGAATGGCGTAATGTGGGATGGTTTACGAACGAAGAGGAAATGAATGCTGTGCGCAAACAACAAAAGGTTTCAAAATGGAAAAGTGTCGATCAGATCAGTGGTCTAAAAGTTTTCTTTCGTTGTAACAAATGGAAACGCACGAATTGTAACTATCGTATGTTTGTGATGTATTACGCAGTGGATCGAATAAGTTTGAATGAAAGTGGGCAGCATGATCATTCAGTTGTTTACGCGACTAAATCGAAGAAAAAATGCAACAATGCATATAATCAAGCGCAATTGCAAGACTCGCAACAAGGACAAAAACAATTTGAGCAACATCAGCAGCAAGCTCGTGAGCAAGCATTCTTAATCAATTGTAATTTTCTGTTTCCTATAGGCAAACGTCTCGGCTTTTGCGTCTTGACCTTTGTTACCATGACCTCATTCACCTCCTTCGTTACTTTGGTGCTAACTTCCATCTGTCGTATCATCTGAACGCAGGATTTGTTTTGGTTGTTTCATTGTTGCTGAACTCTTCTGGAACAGAAGGCCGTGAACAGAATTGCATGAGAGCTCATTTAGCCTCAGTTTCCTAGAAATAATTACTAGTAAGCGCATTTGAGTGTGACAATGATTCTCGAATGAGTATTTATAATAAATTAAGTTTGTGGATCCTTACACATATGGTGGTGACAATTCTAATCCCTGCTGAATTCCGAATTAGTAACGATTGGATGTTGATTGACTAAAATGTAATGGATTATCTTTTTCAGCAGCTGCTCGTGCTGTTTTTGAAGCAACCCCAAGCTCCTCGCAACAAAGTGTTTTGGATCAGTTGATAAGAAATGCAACTGCGAATGCTGCATCATCTTCGTTTGACGCTGAAAATGTTTTTGACACGGTTAGAATCCATCTCATTTTCTCATTTCACCTAAAATGAACTCTTTGAAACCCTTGAATTTNTCTTATTATTATTCAGAAGCGTTTTTTGCGTTGCATAAGCATTTTTTGTATCATTCTTAAGAAATCAAATTAACAATGCGTAAATGAGAGAATTTACTGCAGCTTTAACCTTATCGAACTGTCTTCAAGCATGAACATGTTATAGGTAAACTCGGGTGTTGATGGTATATGTGGCCTTAAGTCTAGTACAACATCACAGGGTATTGCTGATGTAAGTGTTTTTTATCATCTCTTTCATCAACGGTTTATTATTTTTATACTTTTCATCTTCTTCTCAACGAATGTGTTTCTTATCAGTGAATTGTTATCATTTGTTATTTACAGCTTTACATTCATATAAACCTAATATTTTGTTTTTATGATGATGTGCACATTCCTCTGATGAAATTTCAGTTGAAACTTTCAGCATGAAAAATTTAGTTTATAAGCCGCCCAACCTTGGAAAAAACTTTCTTATATTGGTTGAAAAATTTCTCAACTGAATTGATTGCAGTTGAAAAGCTGAAAAAA